GGGGACATGGGGACAGAACCTGGGGACAGAGGGACACACCCTGCGGATACAGGGACACACCCCAGGGACAGAGGGACACAACTTGGGGACACAGGGACACAACCTGGGGCCGGGCCCCTCTTGCTCCCCCGAACCCCGGCCCACATGTCTGTGTGTCCATGTGTCCATATATCCATGTGTCCCCATGTCCCCATATCCATATATCCATATATCCATATATCCCTGTGTCCCTGTGTCCCCATATCCATGTATCCCTGTGTCCCCATGTCCATATATCCATATATCCCTGTGTCCCTGTGTCCCCATATCCATGTATCCCTGTGTCCCCATTCCATATATCCATATATCCCTGTGTCCCCGAGTCCCTATATCCTTATATCCCTGTGTCCCCATATCCATATATCCATATATCCCTGTGTCCCTGTGTCCCCATATCCTTATATCCATATATCCCTGTGTCCCCATGTCCATATATCCATATATCCATGTATCCCTGTGTCCCTGTGTCCCCATATCCATATATCCATGTATCCCTGTGTCCCCATGTCCATATATCCATATATCCCTGTGTCCCTGTGTCCCCGTGTCCATATATCCATGTCTGTATGTCTCTATGTATCCATGTATCTGTGTCCATCTATCCATATATCCCCGTGTCCATATATCCATGTGTGTCCCCATGTCTGTGTCCATATGTCCCCATGTCCCTGTCACCCTGTCTCCATATATCCATATATCCATATATCCATGTGTCCCTGTGTCCCCCTGTTCATATGTCCATATATCCATATATCCATATATCCATATACCCCCATGTCCATATATCCATATATCCCTGTGTATATATATCCATATATCCATATATCCATATATCCAGGTGTCCCTGTGTCCCCATGTCCATATATCCATATATCCATGTGTCCATAAATCCATCTCCATATCTCCATGTGTCCCCATGTCCATCTATCCATATATCCCCGTGTCCATATCTCCATGTGTGTCCCCGTGTCTGTGTCCATATGTCCCCACGTCCCTGTCACCGAGTCTCCATGTCCACAAGTCCATATGTCCATACATCCATGTGTCCCCATGTTCATATATCCCTATATCCATGTATTCCTATATCCATATATCCCTATATCCATCTATCCCTATATCCATATATCCCTATATCCATCTATCCCTATATCCCTGTGTCCATGTATCCCTGTGTCCATATATCCCAATATCCCTGTATCCCTGTATCCATATATCCCTATATCCCAATATCCCTGTATCCCTGTATCCATGTATCCATGTATCCCTATATCCCAATATCCCTATATCCCTGTATCCATGTATCCCCCAGCCAACCTGTCGTACATCGAGCACATCTTCGAGATCTCTCGCCGGCCGGACCTGCTGACCCTATATCCATGTATCCCTGTATCCATGTATCCCTATATCCATGTATCCATGTATCCTATATCCCTGTATCCCTATATCCCAATAACCCTCTATCCCATACCCCACAGCCAACCTGTCGTACATCGAGCACATCTTCGAGATCTCTCGCCGGCCGGACCTGCTGACCCTATAGCCATGTATCCTATATCCATGTATCCATGTATCCCTGTATCCCTGTATCCATGTATCCCTGTATCCTATATCCCAATAACCCTATATCCCTGTCTCTCCCCAGCCAACCTGTCGTACATCGAGCACATCTTCGAGATCTCACGCCGGCCGGACCTGCTGACCCTGTATCCATGTATCCTATATCCATGTGTCCATGTATCCCTGTGTCCATATATCCATGTGTCCATCTATCCTATATCCCAATATCCCAATAACCCTATATCCCTGTATCCCTGTACCCCACAGCCAACCTGTCGTACATCGAGCACATCTTCGAGATCTCTCGCCGGCCGGACCTGCTGACCCTATA